GCTCTCGTCATTTATGTTTGCATAATGACTTTTTAAACTTATTTTAGACCTGAGCAATAGTTATATTTACATAGGATTGCATTGTATTGCATGTATTTATTTCTACTCCTCGAATAAATATCTTATCTATGAAGTTCTGGAATTTACATAATCACGTAAAAACCTGATATAAAAATCTAGTTCGTCTCAAACAGCAGTTCAAAACTAAAATACGACGTTTCCTAGCGGCTAATGTTATTTACAATGAGGGCGAGTACCTCTCTGTATGTGAAAATGTTATTGTCCATTAAATGTTTGTTAGTCTGACGTTGTAATACAATTGTGCATTGTTTTTTACAAAAATAAAAATGAAATGAAATGAAATGAAAAAAACTAAACTTAACATTTCTCATTAAGTATTTATAACGCCCATCATTTATACTATTGTATATGTTACAGGTAAAGTGTTTACTTGGTTAGTTTATAGACAAAACACAAGAAAATTATGTAAATTAACGAGACTATTTGGCTAGTTCAAAAACAATCCACGGTACAGTTGGATAAAGTGTGAACTCAATATTCCTAGTAATACATAATAACCCATTCGTTGGTTAGTATGTAAAGTAAACCAATCCTCTTTGGTTAATTTAGTTCAGGATAGTAAAATAGTTCTTGATTAAATATAGATTTTACTATTTCTGTCGCTGTTTTTACTTATTTTTAAGTAGTAATAGAAATGTTATTTTGTATCTATAAATAAAATCTATTTTTTTTTCAAGAATTATTTTGCTATCCTGAACTAAATTAACCAAAGAATTGGTTATTATGCATTACTAGGAATTTGAGTTCACACCACTGTGGATAGTTTGTGAACTAGCTAAAATTCTGGTGGTTTGTACTTTGGCGATAAACTACCTGGACAGCACCTATACAAACCAATCAATATTCGTAGCTATTTAGCGAAACGATGATTTTCCATCAAAATAACCACACGTTTGGACAGTTTACATACTATCCAGCTAGTCTATAAACTAACCAAGTAAACACTTTATCCGTAACATACACATCAATATACAAAAAATTATCAAAGTCCGAGTTGACTCCACCATTAGGAAGATCGTGTCGGGGGTTACCACATTCCCTTTGTTGGTACCCACTTTCGACGTCACGTTCACCCGCAATTCGTGTTTGAAGATTTGACTCCACCATCAGGAAGGTCGTGTCGGGGGCTACAACATTCTCTTTGACGGTACCCACTTCCGACGTCCCGTTCACCCGCAATTCACGATTGAAGATTTGACTCCACCATCAGTTAGATCTTGGCGGAGGCTACCTCATTTCCTTTTTCGGTGCATACTTATATTACACCCACATTTTGGTGGATTTCGCTAAAAACCTTCCACAAGATAGTACTTATTTTTTGGGGCACTTATTGCTCGAGCTTCTATTGGCGACACGAGAAAGAGATACAGCGATTCAAGATTTACGAAACGTTAAACCCCGTGACAAAATTCACAACGGAACGTACTAAAAGGCGCCCGAAGTAGACTACCTCTCGAAGACGCGCGCGCGCCTTGCAAAAGGTCGTTAATTTCGCCCCTAGGACAAAAAACAAAATTCCGCCACGCAAGAGTTGTCCGTGTTTACAACATCTTTCCGACGACACCAATTTGAAAAGAATCGGACCAAAACTGTAGTAGATGGAAAATACTGAAAAACCTTCACGTCAGTAAACTACGCTCGAGGATGACGCCCAGATGTCGCCAACCCCAAATCATGTAGCCCTGTCTAAGGTTGACAAATTACACGGTCTTGTAGATACACGTACACCCGTTGCCTTTCTACAAGAGTTCTTCTACGCGCCCACATTTGCTGCCATCCAGCCAGCCAGCCAGCCAAAGTGAGATTAAAAGCTACTTTTTACAAATAAATTTGCAAAAATGCGCTAAAAAGCATAACCGTAATGTAAAGGTAAAACCAGTTCCGTATATGTATAAATGAAATTAATAGACTTGAGGCGATTTCTACGCTTACTGTACTATTAATTTCATTTACATATAATTTAGTGTTAAGCGACCTTCACCTGACGGAACTGTTTTACCTTTGCATTACGGGCGCTTTTTGTATATTGATGTGTACAATACTACAAATGCGATGGACGTTATAAAATTATGCTGTTAAGTTTAGTTTGAGACGGACTATATGCAGAAATTTCGGAATAATCGGTTTAGTTAGTGGCTGCAGTCTATGCCAGCTATTAACATTCATTCGGTGGTAAATAAAATTGACTTGTTTAGGATTAACTCCTACAACCTAAAGATAGAAATACTTGCCATTCAAGAAAAAATTAGGTAGGTATCACATATTTGTTTTACTAACCTAAAGAAGTGTTTCGGATAATCGGAGGTGAAATGTTATTGTTACATAAAAAAAACGAACTCTTGAGACCAATGTATGATTTTGAATTTTGATAGAATGTGACGAGTTGCATAGTATAGTAAAGGCATATAACTTTGAAATTGGGATTAAAGGCTAACAGTCGAACTCCCGAACTTTAAGGAACTTTAAGGACGAAACTGTAATAAATCCCTGAAGTAAAGAATTTTTTTTGAGAAGCCATCAAGAAAAGGAAAACTCAATCTAATTAAGTGTACAGTTTCGGTGCGAGTTTTGCGTTCGAAAAGATAGAATGGATTCCATTGGAAAACTTGTAATGAAAAATGAATTCTAAGGTATTTTTTATGTAAAATCCGTTTTCCAAGAAAAAGTTACTTTCAAATGTAAGATAAATGTTTTTTTAGAAGAGAGAAGTTTCTTCTTTTACGGATTAAACATTTTCAAGTCGACGCCGTCAATTATTTTAACGCCTACTTGATAAACATTTAAAACGGGTCTGCAAATCCATTTAAATCGAGTTTTCTCTGGAACTACTGATCGGATTTGAAAAATAAAAAAGCAGTGCTGAATGAACCTTCTTGTCGAACTACCTAACGATTTCACCCCTTCAATTTAAAATTTTTGGGGTGCAAATGATCCCCTTCTAAAGCTTGAAGTTATCTAAACAGTACTATTTAATTTGGATGCCCTCCCCAAAACTAAAATTGACCTGTTCGAGCGTTTCTGCCAAAACTGTTGTTAAGCGGCCGAAATTGCCATTGACTTATGCTCGGACTTATGCGTCTTATGCACGCCATATTGAAGATTTTCAATCGGCCATGGAATTATTGCCATAAGAAATATCTACAGTAAACTTCAAAGAAAAAATTCAAGGTCAATTTTCAAATAAATTACCAAGTTGTTCATATTACTAGTTTTGTACTTTTTTCCTATAACGTGACGAAAAAATCCAATATGGCATCCATAAGAAATAAGAAAGTTGATGTGATTTACTCGAAACCCCCCAAGTCAGAAAAATGATATATGATATTAGCCCCATCAAAAAACATTATTTTTTGATATCTTTGAAAAAAATGAACGCTAGCGCATTTTTGAAAATGATATGTTTCGGGTTTTTGGCCATAACTTCGCTATTTATGAAGCTACAAGAAAATTAATCAGCATAAAATTCTGCATTTTCCCATTTAAGCGACTTTCTATCTCTAAGGTTTACGAGATCCCCATAGTAGGTACCGGGGTCGCGGGATCCCGAAATACCGGGAACGGGAAAAATTTTTCAAAATCGGATAGGGCATACCCGAAAACCTATTCAAAGACGTGCCACCCATCTTTGTAACTCTTATGGTTGCTGAGAAAAAATTAAAGAAGGAATCCAAATTTCACCACTTCTTTGGGGGTGGCTCCCAGACGAAACACGTTGGATCACCCAATTTTTTTTACATGCGGTAATGTAACACCCTGTATAATAAAAACTAGTAGTTGCCTTTAAAACAATATCTCCCCCTTGCCGGTACAGAACTACACCACAAATTTAAAGTACGTACATTGGTAGCAGACTTTTTATAATTTTGGATGCAATACAACGTTTCATAAAGAAAATGTTTTGAAGATATGTCCAGTCTTCCAGAGAAAATGTTCCCCTTGTTAGGGGGTCATGGAGCGTACATACGTGCTTACCACAATTCGACACGCAAATGCTTCTTGGCTTGAAATCGGAATTTTAGAAAAGATTACAAATTCAAAAAACTGCACTTTCTGAATGTAAACACAGCAGAATATTTTCCAAATGACGGCTGTTATTATTTTATAATGCATCGTGTTTCATTTGTTTAATTTTCCAGTCTACCTAAAAGTGTAGGGTGCTTTTCCAAACAATCTTTCGCGCCATCGACAAAAATCGGAAATACATAAAAGTAAATTTAAGATATAATTAATTAATCTCATTTTCCCAATATTTGAGGTTAGGAACGAGATTTTGAAAAACGGTTTTCACTGCCCTCTTTGGATGTTATTTGGCTAGGTACTTTCATATCATTCCATTTGATTTTTTTATATTTTTTTTAGGATTTTGGGTCATAGTGTCAAAACTACCCCCCTGGCGGAGAAGAATTCAACTAAATTAACTATATTTGGTTGATTATTATTGCCCAAGGAATGTTCTTTTCAACGATAGCAAATTTGTTAAAATCGGTCAAACGGTTAAGAAGTTAAAGCAGGTTATTGCGAAAACAATTGAACGCCCCACACCATCTTTGTTTTTGTAATAACTGAGTTTTTGTTTTTACGAAAATGTTAGATAAACTGGTTCTCTTGAAAAATGTGAAAAAAAAATGTTTAGTTTATTATGCGAAATTTAAAGAAAATGCAATTTTAAAATTTAAGAGTGCAGTTGCGTCCTCTGGTCGTCATTTTTAGAACTTGAAGATTTTCCAGCGATTCTTCATAAACTCATAACCGATTTACCCAATAATTTTGTTTACCCCTAAGTCATACGACGAGCGGTTCTCGAGATATGGCCGAGGAACAGTCTTATTGGGTCACGAAGCGTTCATACCCACAACATTGACAAAAGGCAATTCTTACAGGTTACAGGTGCGATTTTGCACTACTAACAAATTACTTACCCGCAAATGTGTCGTTTTCAGATGAGGTATAGATGTAACCGTAGGTCGTGACGGTGTGATTCTCAGAATCATAGTCGTAGGTGTAAAAAACCGTCGGAGATGGAAAGGCCGTGGTATTCATTGCTGTTCGAAGCTATACCGTTTCAGATTTCATAGCGCTTGGCACCTGTAATTAAAAGAACCATTAGATATTTTCGGTAGTTAAGGAAAACAAACGAAATTAAATATTTATTCCATTGTCTAAATTGACCAAACGGTTCGGTAACTAAAACTACACTCCAATAATAAGTAATGGCCCTGCAAATTTATCAATGATTTGCGTCTCATTTACAGCAGATACCTAATTACTTATTCCAAAGGGAAGCCCACGCGCATTCCTCATGGTCGATTTTGTACTACAACTGCCATAGTCGCATACACAACTGGGTTTATAAATCGAGTCGAATTAGTTGAGGTAAACTTATCTTTTTTCTCATTTAACCAAAAACGTAGTGTTCCAGTTAGCAATAAACTGGAAATATTGGCGGTTCACGTTACCCCTAACGGGATACATCTATCAACTAATTTGACAGGCTTTCACTTTCAGGGAAAGTATTGCGTTGTTTGAAGGATTGCAGTACAATTTACTTTAAAAGGAAGGTTTGGTAATAATAATTCTGTACGATGGAGCATAAAAATCGTCATTATACTTTTGGTATGCTCCTGACTACAACTTTCTTTCTTGCTAAATTGTACCTACCAAGCATAAAATCTATCTGTACATGTGTCTGTGCGTCAATTCAAATTAATTAATATGAACTTCATTTGTTGTAGGTAGTTATTTTTGTTGCATAAAGTTAGGTGTTCTTTAGAATACTTTTTATCATGTAAAAGTAGACGTAGGAAATTTAATAGGAAATCCCTATGTCTACTTCTACATGAATATCACTGTATAAAAATCAAGTAGGTATTTAAAATACAAGCCAAGTTCATTAATTTTTCCGAGCATTAAAGCACTTGTAAGAAGTTGTGGTCAGCGGAAAGTATCTGGCGATACTGGATACTACTTTAGAGTGATATTTTACAAAACATATATAAAAATCAGCCATACAAATTTAAGTAAAGTGACTCTTAGGCCGGGTGTCCAAAAGGAAAAAGAACTACTTTTGGTCATACAATACATAGATTAAATTTTGGTTCATGATTAGCAAGTTCACGGGTACTAATGAAAACATCTCCGTTTCTGTTCCATATGCATGAATGTACCTAATAACTTTGGTGCCAAATTTTCCTTCTTCTGTGGTACAAAAACGTTTCTCCTTCATCTTTCTCATCGAAGAATAATGTCAACCCGATCAAAATCATTCCAAAAGCGATCGACCTATCGACACGAATTGCCGACTTTAATCCGCCCGATCCATTTGGATCAACGACTTCAGTTGGATCGATTTTCGTCGACCTGATGCGGTGGACATCCTGCCTTATTTTTACTAATCTCTCTCACCCGGTACCTCTGTGTTGGTCACAGACTCAATAAAGTACGCAAGCGTTCTAAGTATGTACAGGGTGTAAATCGAAAGTGGAACATAGGCGTTTAATATGGGAAATTACTTTTTCTTTGCGCAAACGTTTCCTAATTATTTTACGCAAAAATACTTCAAATAAAAGTTATAGAGATATAAATTCTGGATCTAAATAATGCGAAACGATTATTCTACCTCTTCTTGTACGCGAAAAAATTAATTATAAAGATTCTGTTTTCACGAGTTTTTAGTCTAAGTAGCCATGGACTATGTTTTTTTTATGGCTACTTAGACTAAAAACTCGTGAAACCAGAATCTTTATAATTAATTTTTTCGCATACAAGAAGAGGTAGACTAATCGTTTCACATGATTTAGATGCAGAATTTATATCTCTATAACTTTTATTTGAAGTACTTTTGCGTAAAATAATATTAGAAACGTTTGCGCAAAGAAAAATCTCCCATGTTAAACGCCTATGTTCCACTTTTCGATTTACACCCTGTACACGAGCCACTAGTCCGAACCTAAGGTTTTATTACTTATAATTGCACAAGAGGTTTGTATTTTACCGAGTAAATTTGGGTTGTTTAGTTTACGTAATGAAAACCTGTTACCTAGCAATTAGACGAGAAAAACTGACAATAAAATGCAACACCGAAGGTGGAGCATTTTTCGGTTGACAGTTTTTCGAGTCATTGCAGTATTAAAGTGCGGAAGTAGGTATTACAAAAGAAACGCCGTTTGCAGTAAAAGTTAATCGCCGTAGCTTTCTCATTATTAAGAATCCTCAGAGTTTTATATTGTCGTCCGTCCGTCGGTCTGTCCGTTCATGTGCGCTCTTTTTAAAAGTGACCGATTGTGTTGAAATTTGGTGTACGGATACTTTGGACATTAAGGACGGACGCTATTGATTTTCAGGAAGCTGGTTCAACAGGAATAAAAGTTATACGACTTCAAGTGAATCGGGAACAGAAAAAACTGCGGGCTCAACATATTTCATTCCCTACGTCATGTATCGAGTTCGGACTGTCGCTAGATTATTCCCTATGACTCTTACCATTGAATAAAAACTTTTTTATTCAATGCTCTTACTTAGATGTGTTACAATTCAATATAAGTAACTCTTGACATGAACCCAAAATTATTCTTTACACATGAATTTGGAGTTGTAAAAGCTTTCAAACGCATTATCTTGATGCCGAAAGAGTACATCACGTCCACATTTGATAACCGCATGTGTGATTCAAAGATGTTTAATTATTTTTCTGGGGCCACATGGATTTTGATCAAATTATTATGTCAATATCGATATTTATGCTCCAAGATCCTTGGGAAAAGACCAAGAGCATTACCTCAATGACCAAAACATGAATTTGATCTTTTTTTGGCGACCACATGGATTTTGATCAAAACGTGTCAAAATCGTTATTCTTGCACTGGTATCGCTGCGAACAAGATTAACAGTTTTATCTCAATGTCCAAGACAAGAATTTGATTCATTTTTGTTAATTATAAAATGTATTTTTAAATAAATTGTCGTTAAATGTGATTGTAATACTGAGGATCCTTCGATATTTCGTTGTATCGGTTTGTTTTTATCGCATTTCCATAAAAATAAAAAAAATGCGTTATTGTAACCACTTTGTCCGTCCGCCTGTCTGTCCGCCTGTCCGTCCGTCTGTCCGTCCGCTTTATCTCAAAAGCTATTAAAAATAATATATTTGTTGTCAGGAGATCAATAACATTCATATCGACAAAGTCACTTTCACACTATTAGGTACTTAAATTTTGTATAAAACAGAAAGAGTAAACTAACAACTAAACAGTCCAATCGCTCACTTTGTATAGCGCTTTCTCCAGCAAAAATGCTTTTAATTTTTTTTTAACATTTGTTGTGATTTTTCCATAGTTATACTGGGAAACAACGCGTTGTACATCTTAATGCCACTATATGCGAGACTGATTGTTCTACTTTTTTCGCTGTTTGGTTCGTTATGGTGTCGAGGCTTGCACTAAGGAAGGAATTTTTTCTGCGTTTATTGCTAAAAAAGTGATTGTAAAAAACTAAAACACAATTTTTTTCATGTTCCATAATTTTACATTTTTGCCGTTTTTAACGATCATAGATATCGTTCATAATTTTGTATTGCTGTCTGTCGTCTGTCTGTTGGTCTGTCCGTCTGTTCCTTTCTCTGTCTATCTGTCCGTGTGAAAGATAACTTTGGTTAGACATGTCCGATTCTAGGTCCGATCGCTTTGAAATTTGGTACAAATGTTCTTAGTTTCGTTAGTAGTTTAAAAGTAAAATTGGTGCTTACTTAAAAAATTGTTTCCCCCATGCGCAATCGAATTTTTTGAATTGTTAAAGTATTTAAATGGAATTTTGTATAGTTGTAATGTCAGCATATGCATGATGAAAGCGCATTTTTGGTAATGCAGATCAGTATTTTATTAGCAAAGTTTAAAATGATTGATCTCACGAGTAATCTAACTCAAAATAGAATAGAACCTGCACATCTACATTACATCAGAAAGCTTAGTGAAAATTTAAAGTCTGTAGCTATTGTGATTGCAGAATTGCTGCGATCTCAGTCGGACAGCCAGCCAGCCATAACGAATAGAATAGCGTATTTTTTTCCAAAAATGCGCTATTGTGGCCACTTTGTCCGTCCTTCTGTCCGTCCGTCCGTCCGGTCGCTACTACACCTTTATCTTAAGAGCTATCTTTCTACTTTTTTCGCTCTTTGGTCCGTTAGGGTGTTGAGACTTGCAGTAAGGAAGGAATTTTTTCTGCGTTTCTTACTAAAAAAGTTATAGTAAAAAATCCATATTTTTATGTACCATAATTTTACAACTTTATATAATTGCTGCTGTTTATTAACGATCCCGGAGATGTCTGCTGTCTGTGTGTCAGTTGTCTGTCTGTCCATCTGTCTGTCTGCTCGTCTGCCCGTGTGCACGACCAAACCTCCAAAAAATGGGGTTCTTGTATCATTTTTGTTACAAATAACATATGAATGTTCGGGTTTTCTGTGTTAAGACATATTCCTTAAACCTCAAGCAACTTATATGCAGACGAATTAAAAAAATTTGCGCAATCCAATTTTTTATTTAAGAGACAAATGAAATTGTGTATATACGCACCTCGAATAAAAGTAAAACTAATACCAAATTAAAAAATTTGTTTTACAAACTATGCAGAATCATCCCCTTAAGGAGGTGTATCTATTGTAAAATTCTCGATGATCGTTCAGTATTCAGTTGTATCAGATTTTTGTGCTTTTAGATTCTATACGCTAAGATGATTCTTATAAAATCAAGTTGAAATGACAATGACATGTCAAAGAATAGGTTGTGCATGCGCAGGGCTAATTTTCTTGTGGACGGATTTTTTTAAATTGATGAAAACGAATTTGGCTGAAGTAACAAATATTTTCGGACTATTCATGTGGAAATGCGCTTTTTGTAAATCGTTTACGATTACTTTTTGAAGTTGTTATAATTAACAATGAATTATTCAACGTACGGAAAATTTTTCGAATATATAGTTCGGACTAATAACATAAAATCGGAAACAAGTCTTGACCGATTAAGTCGATAGGGTCTCTTTTTTGTAAAAGCTGAATAATTACGAAATACCGCATACGTTCAATAATTATACAA